AGTTTTGAATGCAAGAACATCGATTGCTTTTGAGTCAATTGAAAATTAGAAAACCGGGGGCTATATATTTTTTGCTACTATACTTGGGAGGCAATAATGGGATAGTCTATATTCCGATTTGATAACAATTGCTAATGACCAGCTTAATTAGGAAATAATGATTTATTAAAACACATAGTTGAAGAGTAATTTATACGACAAAGCTTTCAGGGTTGCGAATCTTGGCTCAAAAACTGAGCCCCCAGATCATAGCTATTTTTGACATGTCACAACTTATAGAAATTTACTAAAACTTACGGTAGTTGAATGTTTTTTTTTTCTATTTTATCATATTTCAAGTTATTGTTTTTTGCTGATTAATGTGCAATGGTTACTTCCAATAACGAAAGATTAGGCAAATACGTAATTACTTTTGAGTTTAGTTTGTAATGATTTATGGAGAAAAAAAGTGTTTCTTATTTGAAAAATTTCAAGAAAATTCCATTGACAGAAACGACAGACTTTTATACTATGCAAGAATAGGTCGACATTTCGCTGCTTCAACTTAACATTTTCCTTAATTCGTAACTTCAGAGCCAATCTTTTCTACGCGATTTCCCGATTTCCAGTTTAATCTGTCGAATGCGATTCCACATATTCAATCAAAGCAATATTTTGTCTATTCTTATCTTTCAGACCAAAACAACGCGGATTCATTTCATGATTTTGTGATACAATAATCGTTACACGCTGATTGACTTTTTTCGAACTGAGATCAAATTAACGAAGCCATTGTAAGCAAATTTGAATATGCTTCAGTTTCTTTAACCGATCTACGTGAGATCAAAGACATTTTTACATACTTGCACGAGTCGTGTAAAGTAAGACAAGTAATAAATGGTTAAGATGTTTGAAAGGTATTCCGAAGCGATCTGACAGTAATAAATTATATAATTTTTGGCGGCAGGTATTTGAAAAATTCAAATGAATGAACAGCTACATCATCAAACGGACAGTCAGCAGTGCAACTTAATCAGTTCTTTTCTGATGTTTTAGAGACCGATAAATTATCAGCCAGCAAGATGAAATAAGAGAAACTACCATGAAACACACCTGTGCATCTAACAGATTAATGAACGTGAAAATTGCTTATATATAAACAAGTGAGAGGTCAACGAAAAGAATGCAAGCGTAATAGACGGGTCATCCAACAACGCTTTTTATTGCAAAAAACTGAACGATAAAAACAACTAGCGTTTAACGCACCTTCGGTGCTTCGAAATTTTTCGACATTTCATGAAAAACCGCATATATTGGAAACAACGTCTGCAAACTTTTACTGTACTCGACTGCACCCAATTACAGGGTTGGTAATTTCGAACTTTTAAGTTTTTCTAATTCCGATTTTAAAAGCTTCATCTCGAAAACTTAATGGGCCTTTAGAGAAATTTGGAGGCCAGATTTGCAACCACTGAGAGTCCCTGAGAGCACCCTACTATAGGGTTAGGAATCCAAAATTTTGTGAATTTTGTTAAACCTAAGTTTCCCGAAAAAAAAAACTGAAAAAAAACGTCTTATCGAGGAAACTAAAAGGATTTGAGCATTCATATTAAGAGGCAAGATTTGAGACGCCTGGGAAACTTTGCATTTCAACAGCAAGTTTCATAATGCCATCAAATAAGTGGACACTTTTAATGAGCACTTTTATTTGGTTAGAAAAAAGAAGGTGAATGCTAATACACTACGCTCCTCGCAACAGTAAAACAACTCATGAAACGATTTCATTTATAAAATCATCAATTTCATCAATGAGATTTTTGTTCTTTATTTTCATTAGCCCGTAATTATACCATCAGCTGTCATCAATCGTTCAATCCAGCATTGTCAATTTAAAAACACTTTTTTTTCTTAGTTTAATTCTCAGTTTGATAAAAAAAATTTGAAATATCAGAACAAACGTCAGTTTCAAGAAACTTTTTGAAAAAATATGTTTTGAAAAAATTTGAGCAATAATATTACAATAAAGGACAGTTGCAACTGCTGGTAGTAACCTGACATCACCCGACCAAACGGTCGACAGCTTCGAATTTTGACACAAAAAAAAAAGATATAAGGAGTCCAGATATAAACTTCCTGAGATTACCTCGACAAAATCCTTGAGAATTCCGAGCTTAAATTTTTTTAGATCTAGTTTTTGAAAAATCACTAAAAACTGCATAATTCGGAAACTGAAATGATTTGAACAGACAAACTTGGAGGCAAGATCTGCAACCAATGAGATTACCCTGAGGGCACCCACTTTAGGGTTGCGAATTTCAAATGGCTGAAACTCTTTCAAAAAATTTTGAAAAACGTCATATCTAGGAAACAAAGGATTTAAGCAGTCACATTTACAAAGATTTACAGCCCCTGACGTTTTCCAAAAACGATTTACAGCATATGGCGTTTTTCAAAAACCTTGACTAAAGGGTTTTAAAACTCTAAAATAAAACTTTTTGAAAAAACGATAAAACTTCATATCTTCGAAACTAAAAGAAAATAGAGCAAGATTTTCAACTCCGAGAACACTCCGAGAGTGGCGCTTCACTATAGAATTTGGAATGAAAATTTTGTTAAGTTATTCACATCTACGTTCTTCGAAAATTTTGAAAAAAAAACTTTTAAAAAAATGCCACATTTCGGAAAATAAAAGCGTATGAGCAGTGCAAATTGGAGTCAAGATTTGCAAACCCTGAGAGTAACCTGGCAGCAACGAACTACAGGGCTGGAAAATTTTTGAATTATTTTATATCTGAGTTTTCTGAAAGTTTAAAAAAATCATAAAAATTGTTGTATCTTTGAATAAGAATACCCATAAAAGATTTGCAGCCCCTGCGGAAAGCCTGACAGCATCCCACAATTGGATTGCTCATTTCAAACTTGCTGAAATTAACACTGAGTTCAAGCTGGAAAATCGGCTACTTACACATTGGTTATAATTTTTAAGCATTGCAATATACGCTAAAGCACAAACTACAAAAAAAAAAATCGGTAAGCATGCAAAATAAATACGTTGAAAAAGCTTAAACATGAGATAGTGAAGGAGGTATTTAAATATATAACAAATCATGAAAAGAGATGAGAAACAAGCTAGTTATAGTCGAAGTAACGTTTGACCATTCTGAAGAAACTCAAATGTCTACCATTAAAAATCATTATTAGCGGATGAAAACAGACTTTAATTACCCGTAAAATTTCCGTAGCATCGTTTGAAATTAAAATGGTTTATGAACCGCATTTTTTTCGACTGCGCATTTTTTCTTCGCCAAAGTTGAACTGCGTTGAAAGGTTCAAATAAAATTCAATTTTCAAGGTTTTGAAATAACATAATTTTGATTTATAATAAGGGACTGGCGCATTAAAATTTATGGAGAAATTTTTTATTTCGAAAAATATATTGCTGAAACTTATGAAAATGGAATTTATACTTTTTACAGTGTTAGTTGTTCGGAAATCTTCAACACGCTATTTAAAAAACTAAGTGATATATATTTAGCATGCAATAACGTATCACTTAGAAGAACAAGCATGTATTTATCCAACTTCGATTAATTTCTGAGCCTGGCTATACTGCCGCTGACGTGTCAATATCACGAAGTATATCGAACGTTAATTATTCCAATCTCGTCAAATTGGCATTTTTAAACCTTCGCGGCTTTTCAAAAACTATCAACGGTAAATTTTTCATATTTTTATTTTCAGCTCAGCACGTCAATAGCTTTCAGATATTAAAAAGTTCCGTCAAAAATGACTATTTCAAAAGACGAAATTGGGAACAATAATTAGATAAGAATCTGTAAGAATCAGGGGATATATCTAAGCTAATAATGACACAGAGGCGAGCCTACGCTTCGCAAATACTTCAGGAAAAACGATAAAAAAAGCAGCTCCACAAGGTAAAATAGGTAAAGAAAAACCTTGCTGGACATAAGCCTTGAAAAATAAAACTTTTGATGCAGTGGATTCGATCCTACGACCAGGAAATTTAGATTCCACTGTCTTCGCATCTGTGCCACGTGCCCTTGACAATTTACTAACTCTAGTCACAAATCAAGCAGCTACATATGCTAATATTTTGCCAATGCGATGCGGCAAAAAGGGCACCAAATTGCAAATTGACACAATTTTGCATGTAATAATTTGGAATATAACAACCTGATGGCATCCACATAAAACTTGCATGTAATAAACTACAAAACATAAAGCCAATTTATGTATAAATTATGCATTTCAAATCAAAAATTGCAAGATATATAGAGTAGGAAAATTTCGAGGTTTTTCATTTAACTGTTGATTAAAACAAATAGCTTTTTCGGTTCATTCAATGAACTAAAAATGCTTCAACTTTGTTAACTTATTACTAATCGAACGTCAGAGCACATGCTATCATAAAGCCGTCAAGGTGCCACGAACAGTGACACCAATATTTGCTACTTAGGTTGGAAAAAATAGTCGTGCTTTTACACTACGCTCGCCAGTGTAAAAAATGCAGTGGAATTAGAATTTTTCTGATCAATTATTATGTGATACTGATCAATCAAGTCTTTTGATTTTTCCAAATTCTGAATCGCGACTGTAAGAGCTTTAATATTCTACCTCCTACGAGCTCTCCTTGAAGTAGTTAAATAGTTATAAAAAACACCCTACGCCTTAGTTCTGCTCGACCACTGAGGTTGGGGGTGGGGGGGGGGGGGGGGAGTCGGAACAATAAAGAGTAAGCATTAATTAGCTCAGATGGTACATTAGGTTGGCTGCACCATTACCGCTCCCTCGTTCCTCCACCCTCCTTAGTTTTGCATGCTTTCATTGCTAACTGCATGATTGTTTGTTCGAAGGTATCAAATGTCTTCAGAATAGGTTTTTGTGTACCATGCAGTTGCATTACGTTAACACAACGTTAAATCAGCTATTCAAAAATAATGTTCAAATTTGAGGATGGTAATGGTGGAAAAAAGCCTTCAAATTAACTCAGCTAATCAAAATTGCTCAAGAAAACTTTTATTAAACCGTCATTTAAAGATTACCATAAGTAAATACTTCTTGATCTTGGAACGCGACAAACAGTAATATTGAGATTGAGGCATAAATTCAAACATTTGCAAATTCGAAATTAAAATTCATCAATTACATAAAGGCTCAGTATTTACACATTTTACCAACATCACTAGCGGGGATAAGTGTTGGTCAACGTAGGACCTGACTAGACTATTATAAACAGGGGAACTGGAAGCTAAATTAATTCAGCACCAAAACGATCGCAATTACTTCTCGTTTTTGACGAGTCAAGTGATTTCAACTTACAGAAGGCATTTTAAATCTTTATCAAATTAATATTTATCAAATTAAGTTGAAACCTATCCTATCTATTTTCATCATGCTGAAACATTTCATTGAACAATCCATTTTGAAAAGTCAGAATCTAACAATTTTTACAGGATTTACTTTCAATAGAAGACTACCGGTCAATTTTCAAGCACCATCTCATTCAATTCTATTTCTTTCCTTAATAGAACTGAAGTTATCCTGTTTGTTGTCACTCAATGAACTTTTTAACTCAAATTATTCAACTGTCAGACGCATGTTTTTCGCAATTGCATACCGGTCACATATGGTACTGTATGTTGTTTTCAACTACTTAAGTTCAGTTCAATGGAACCTTTTAAGGAAACATATTCCATCTATTTGAAAACCGAGACTTCAATGAAACGCTTCAGCTGACTGAAATATTTGATATGGTTATCAAATAATGACGCAATAAGTCATCTTTTAACGATACAAATGAAATTGAAAAATGATGCAGGTTAATGATGTGTTTCAGGATTATCAATAGGTTTAATTTTGCACCAACTAATTTTCTCATTTTACGCAACTTTGCGAGCAGTTTTCTATGGTACCACTGTAGCGTCAAAAGATACATTGAATCCAAAAATCTTTTGCGCTGAAAAGATTGTTTTCTTGTGTGATATCGCGATTCAGTGAAAACGAGTCTAAACTAAATATACAGTTAGCAGCAAAAATTTGGTAGTGAAAGACGACACTGATTTAATTGTAAAAGCGACACGCTTGTTAACCTATTATCTGAAACTAAGGATGATTTTTGAATCAGTACGTGAAAAACTATCGTATGTCAAATTGGGTTTTAGATCCCTGATAAGACTGGTTGAATGCTACTTTAGATGACACTTTGCTATAAAAAACCATAGGCAGCACGTTCAGATGGAAAAATATCTTAACTATTCTGCTAAAAATCAGCCCCTCAGCACATGTGTTCTAGTTTTGTGGTTATACCGTTGCTCATTAACTTAATCTACATTCATTGACTGAAATGGTTTGGCTGTTATCAGGACCATTTTACCAGCATAACGATTGTTTAAAGTAAAAACATTTTCACCTAGTGATTTTCGACAGATTTTTTTTGATGATTAGAGAGATTATCAGAACTGAATAACTAAATAACTAAAAATAACGTTGTTTTCATTTTTTGGTCTTAAGGAACAGCCATCTCTTGCAAAAAATCTCTCAGAAACAGAACTCTTCTCTAGTATCGATTTTCGAAAATAAATTGCCACTTGTCAGTCGTCACAAGACCTTCGTATATTTACTTAATTGGAGCTGAAACCGCGCAAGACTAGAAAGGAGTTCATAATAACTTAGATACCATTATCTGAAATACTCATTCGTAAATTTATTTATTTAATTAAGTCGTTCAAAGGGTAGATAATTGGTTAAAATAATATATTTCGAACTCTTCGTCTTTCTTTGACGCTCTATTTGGTCCCAACCATCTAGCTAGTTATTTGCTCGTTTTTTTTCGATTTGGCCCCAGGTTGGGAGAAGTTTCTGTTCGTACTCGTAAAGAAGTCGACTCAAAATATTGTATTTTGCACATCAATTCATAATAACTGTTAGTGCCCCGTTGATAATATAAATGGTACGTATGAAGTAGCTAATTGTAAACTACGGCTGAGCTACTGTTCGTTAAACGAATTTGTCCCTGAAGACGAAAATTTTGATGATGGTTGCTGGACTAGACTTCGACTGTGATCATCGTCGGTGGTATGGGATCCTGATTTTGATTCTAATGCTCCGAACATCTCGTGTGAGGCGTAGGTCATGTAGAGGAATCCATCGGCGTCCCTCTCGTCCCTGTAGAGTTCCGAGAGGGTTGTTGACATGGATGCGATTGATTTGTTGTTGACGATTAGATAAAAGGCCTGTGTGGAGCTGAGAGACATTCTATTCCTAGAAAAGAACAAAGACTTAAGAATCAGTGTTCCCATTTCTCGAAACATGGATAAACTTGAATTTCACTTTCTACGGGGATCAGTTAACTCACAACTACGGAGGGTATAATAGAAGTCTCTTTTCCCTTACATTTGAATTTAAAAATTGAAAAACTAATGAAAACTTGTTATGTAATGTAACTTTGCATTGTGATTAAATAAACCATACTGGACACTTTTTTCATGTTTTGAAGCAAACAAATCACCCAGTTAGCCGAAATTCAAAAATGGGATGCATGTTGATTTTAATTATTATTTTATGTCACTTAAACAGGTGATCTTATTCCAACTTCACTCTTGGTCGAAGGGTAACGGAGATATATCTACCTGATAATGGTGACAAATTGAGACATGGTGATTTCTTGAGGCACTAGGAACTTTGTCTTGTCTAGAGCAGGCAAGCTCTTCTCCTTGTGATACTTTTCAACTATCACAGGTACCTTCTGGGGGAATTTGGCCCGGATCCCAGAAGCCTCCTCCTTTCTCTGAGCTAGAACAAAACAACGCTTTCATCAAAGTTCAAACAATTCAGGATCAACTCCTCTCTCTTCCACTAGATTTTATGTTCCTTTGATTTGAATTCAGACGCAGAGATAAACTACAAACTAGTAACAAGACTGCTCGTATCAGGGCGAAGCCCTGAATGTTCCGACTGACTTTTAAGGTTTATGGAGCAGTAATAACATTAATATCATTAACATATTAAATGTACTAAAATAACATGAAACATTTTTTTTCTAAAACTTTGAATTTTTTTCAACAAAAACCATCCCCCCACACGCCATATAAGTACAATAGAATAGATTTTGCTCCTTGTAAAAAATCAATTATGGCATATAAGCTTTTTTCAGCCAATTTGGAACGATTTCTAAGACGGATTAAATCTCCGGTTACGCGTTAATAGCGCGAAATATATCGCGCGTTAATTGTCCGAAATTGGCCAAAAGGGCAATCTTTAAACCCTCATAACTTTACGAAAAATGATCACAGGTGAAACATCTCTTCAAATTTAAGCTCAGGACAGTCAGTTATACCTTTTGAATGATAAAAAAAAATTCCGTCAGAAATGGTTAGATAAAAAGTCGAAATTTGTCTGAAAAAAACCACCCCGAGCACAAATATTCCGTTACTTTCGTATCGAAAGTCGCAACAATAAATTCACTGCATCAGGGACACTATAAAGTCAGATTTGCCAATCTAAGGTTCCCTTTAAATGAAGAAGGATTAGTGAAAATTTTTCTAACTAATTAGTAACAATTGCTCAGAAATTCAAATTGTCTCTTATATACATTCGTTAAGTTAGCATAACAAAGCTCCGAAGTTTTACTGGGATAAATTTTTTTCTGCGCAGTACAAGTGCACTTAATTAGTTAAAAAGAAACAGCATTAAGCATTAGCTAGTTTTACCAAAAAAAATATGTCTTTGGCCGTGTTGAACAATGACGAATTATTGAATCAGCTAACGAAAAAAATTGGAGTTTTTTGCCGCAGCTGACCTAACATTTCTCGAAAAATCTGATCAAAGAAAAGTGAAAAGTTCAAAAACAGTATGAAATTTGTGTTAATCAAAAACAAAAGCGTACTAATATAATCAGACTTTCTTTTGAAAAATATCGTTCGTAACAATTTTTTTTCTGTGCGAGAAGAACTCTACTTAAATAACTTTTGATGTACCACCATACGCACTCAGATTATATGAAATTATTGGTGTTGTTAAGATTTCTAAAACTTTAGCGGACTTTTTCTTGAAATTTGTATGCATCATAACCCATAAAATCTTTTATGACACTCAAATTTTGTGAAAACGAAAACAAGGGAACTGGGAGCATACCAATGGTATTCATGCATATTTAATTTAAATCAATTCAATGACCAAGCTAAGCTCTTCGTGAAAACACTTCGTACTAATTGCTTCACAAAAGCGCTCACATGCAGTCGCAATTGGTTTTTTGAAGGCGATTATGACTTAAACTGAGACCATTTAACTATCGTTGAGACGAACAACTTCATAAATTAGCAAGTATGTAGTAAGTAATATGTAAGTAAAATGAAGTATGTAGTAATGGCTTCAGATTAGACATCGGCTCCGTAACATTATAGCCCCCACCCTCAACAAATTATAGACCTCATAAAACAAATTTTCACGACAAGTCATTTGTATGTTTCTTACCGAAAGTTTTTCGCTCTTTAAACGTCTTGATTCCCCGTTCATCTGGCATGGCGCATAATACAATGAGAGTCTGAAAATATTGATTTCACTTTTTGTTATTCCATTGGAGCAGTAGTTGTTATCGGATAATTTGTTACCAAATACAGATTGAAATGGCGCGGGAAAATTTGACTTCGCAAAAATTTGCCTATTTGCAAGGAATGAGTCACAGTGATTATTAAGATCATCAAAAATTAAGCACGGGTCTTTAAAATTCTGAGAGATTGGCTGGTTTTTTTTATCATTCAGCCCACCGCCGATGAATACAACATTTAGGCTGAAAACTATCAATTTCAAATCATAGTAGAAAAATAGGAAACACTGCCGGATTTCCCATAATAGCCCCCGCCCAGCTAACAAGATTCGGCTCTTTTTTCTTTTCCCACCTCACATAAGCGTCAATTTTATGGTGTAACGAGGGGTTTAACAAGGTTAATCATGAAGACCAAATATGTTTTTCATGGCCTAATTGGTTCGCATGCCAATTGTCGTAACATTCGGATAACATTAACAAAATTTCACTTGTAAAATTTTGCAGGTCGGGGGGGGGGGGGATACTAAAAGATCCCAAGATTCAAACTTCAATAAAGAGGTCTCACGGAGAAAAACATGAAGAGAAACCAGTTACGTAGCGAACTAGACAGGTCATAACGTAGATGCGCACCCCCAACAACCATACGATTCCCCAGCTCTTTTCCACTCCCCCTTTCACTTTTCAAATTTTCTATTTATCGAGTTGATGGCTCTTTTTCCTTCCCCCCCCCCCCCACCTCATTCAAACATGAATTTTATGGTCTAACGAGTGGTTTTACAAGGTTAATTATGCAGACCAAATATGCTTGTTATGGCCTAATTAGTCTGCATGTCATATTTCACGACAATCGGACAAAGTGAACAGTAACTTCAAATAAAAAAATTTGCAGATGGGGGGAAAAGGAAAAAGAGCCGAGTTGATTTACGGGCTCTTTTCCCGTCCCCCCCTCGTAAAATTACAATATAAATCTGCTCACAAATTGTTCACACGACATTTTGCATGAGAGAAACTTTGTAAAACTTTGTTCACCTGTTAACGCTGACACGTTGTAAGGCAGTTTATAACAAAAAAAGTCACTTTAAATAGACTTTCTTAGATGGAATTTCAGAGAAAATCAAAAGATGGACTGGAAAACAGCCAATTTACGTGTTATTATGGTTAAAGGCGCAATGCTACGATGCAAGGTATGACAGAGACACGAAGCAGAGCTTCGCATTACTTGCGATAGAAAAATAAATTACTCTCGCTACTTGCAGATGAACCGACAAATCGAACAAAAAATCATAAAAATTGCAAACATCCGAAACTTGCAGATGAACCGACAAATCGAACAAAAAATCATAAAAATTGCAAACATCCGAAACTTGCAGATGAACCGACAAATCGAACAAAAAATCATAAAAATTGCAAACAACTGCAAGTATCCGAAATCTGGGAACTTAAATAACTGCACCTTTAGAAATGTTCCAAAGTGCGGCGAAGCGAAGCATCGCGCTACATGCGATAAAACCTATACATAGCAGGACGGCTCTTTTGCAGTTTCCCCCTTTCAAAATACCGAGTTTTATGTTTGTTTTACGTGTTATTACGGCTAAATGCTTGAATTTGAAAGGGGGGAACTGGAAAAGAGCCAGCAGGACAAACCAACCGACAAAAATAGAGATGAAAACCGTAGAAAAAAATCGAAAAAAAATATATTGAATATAAATTCCTTTCATATAATAAAAAATATGCCGAGAAGTAAGAAAAATGATCGTTAAACCAGAATCGAAACCAAATTAACAAAGCGTTAACCAAGCCAACAATTCTTGCGCAGACACGAGTTTCTCCAAAAAATATATTTTAGTAAAATTTTAAAAACTCAAAACGTTTATAATTCCCCCTCAAAACACTTTGCTATTTTTTTGCATAACTCTCTAAAACGGCTCTAACCGATATATGATGAGCCAATATTTGAAATCGGAGTTGGCAAATTTGCAGCCAATATTCAAAAAATTAACAAGAACGGGCATTTAAAATGCATTAATGCTCAAATATTGGCTCATTTCTACTCCTTACCTTTCAAAACATCGATTTTTATATTTGTTTTACATGTTATTGCGGCCAAATTTGTGATGTTACAATGTAAAGTATCAAGCACGCAGCTGAAAATTGCAACCCACTGAAAGAAACTGACGTGCGAAAAACTTGAGCGATGTCCTACAGCGTACAACGCTCTTTACCATTAAACCCTCCCCCCGCCCTCTAGTAACAAAGAAATTTTAGCCTAGCCCAACTACACCGTTTTTATGATTTTCGAGGGGATATAATTTGCTTGAGGGGTTATGATGTGAATGAGCAGTCCACAAAACTACACTTTTGAACAAGGATAGCCGTTTAAGCATAAAGAAAGCTTAAGTATGAAGAATCTTAAAGCTTAAGTAAGAAGCCAAAACTTGCGAGTTCATGTTTTACCAGTCGAACTGACCATTTGGAAAAAGTATCTCTTTTGGAAAAAGTTTTCCGGAAAGGAAAAAGTATCCCCTAGTCTTAGTTAAGCAATTCAAAATAAACCAAAAACAATAAAATTATTTTATCCATTTTAAGGGTTACGTAGCAGTATTTAGACAACCTTGACAAAATACTTAACCTAAAATGTCTAACCTTAAACAAAATTTATTTTGGTTGATATAGTATTTGTCTGCATACTGACGAGTATGAATACGCGGTTATCTAAATACAGACCGCACTTCCAATTTAAGTGAGCAAGTGGAAGGAATTCAACAGATAAACATCTGCCATAACAAGCTGGTCATAGCTAACATCACGTTAACATGCAGTAAAAATTGATAGGAAGTTGTTCCTCTTCAACTCAGTCGATTGTGTAAAAAAAATCTGAACAACGGACCACTTCGACCAATTTTTCTCAACATCACGACAAAAAAAAAACAAGTGATAAAACGGCAAAAACTAGTTCTAAAAGGCTCGAAAGGAAAAAAAGGTACAACTAATAAAAAATGTGCTATGTGCCGGAATCGAAACCTTGCTCTGGATTGCGAGACACACGTCCTGTCATATGCGCCATGCATGCTTGACAATCTTCAATCAGTAGCCCCAATAAACCAGATACAAAAATAATGCTATACAGCAAAAGTAAGCCAGGTATAATGATATTGCTGAAAAAGTCCCAAATAAGCACTTTAGTTTGGGACTAGGATTGTAAAGAAAACAAGAGTGCTCGTATCAGGGCGAAGCCCTGAATGTTCCGACTGCCCATTAAGGTCTATGGAGCAGTAAAATCATTAAAAAATTAAAAGTAATAAAACAAAATGAAAATTTTTTTTTTTTCAAAAATTTAAAGTTTTTTTAATAAAAATCATCCCCCCACACGCCATATAAAGGACAAAAGGATAGATTTCGCTACTTGTAACAAATCAATTATGGCAAATAAGCTTCGTTAAACCAATTTGGAACGATTTCTAAGACGGATTAACTCTCCGCTTACGCGTTAATAGCGCGAAATATATCGCGCGTTAATTGTCCCAAATTGGCCAAAATGGCAATCTTTAAACCCCCATAACTTTACGAAAAATGATCACAGGTGAAATATCTTTTCAAATTTGAGCTCAGGACAACAATACCTTTCGAATGATAAAAAAAATTCCGTCAAAAATGGCTAGTTAAAAAGTCGAAATTTGTCTGAAGAAAAAAAAACCCACCCCGAGCACAAATATTCCGTTACTTTCGTATCGAAAGTCGGAACAATTAGAACTTATAATATGACACTACATTCTGCTTGTGTGAAAAATTTGGAATCCGAATGGCTTTTTCCTTTTCCACTAAAATGATACTGAAGTCTGATTCTTTAAAAAAATGCCTAACCTTATAACTTTCACATCATAATAATCCACCCTTTACTTCATCAAACGCTGTTCATGCGAGAAGAAAATATCTTCCCAAAACAGGACCAATAGGACTCTAATTTGATATCACACTATCCCGTACGAGAATTTCATGGGGTACCTAAAATTGGATAAGGAGAACTTAACGCCATATTGCTTCATACCGCTTCGTAACTTAGTCGAAACAAAAACATAACCAACAGAGTTGGAAAAAAGTTAATGAACCCAAACAAATAGAAAAAACTGACTGGTTTTTTTTTTGAAAAATTTCAACTTTTGAATTTCAAAGTAAAACAATACATGGCCTTAACTCTTTGAATTTCAAGAACAATTAAGGTTTAACACTTTGTTTGAGATATATAACTCAATTTGAGAAAACTGGATCAATAGCTAAAGTTTTTATTTCGCTGAAAAATCTTAAAATTAATTTCCACTTTCGAAACAAGTCGTTCACGTTTTTTTCGAGTAATTTCCACGTTCGTATTTGGATAGGGCAGTTTACCAGCAGCAAATGGATTTGAATGGAATGCGTAATTTTACTAAAAAAAGGTATTAAAAATACATGCAATCAGAGTATTTTTTGCGAAAAAAAAACTATCTATCAGAACAAATTTTCATATGCTTGTCTCGATTTTTCTCGAATTAAGTCCAAGTAGCGTGTGACGCACTCCGGTGCTTCGAATTTTTAACAACCCATAAAAAACCGCATAAATTGGAAATTAGATATGTATCCTTTGAATGTACTCTGACAGCACCCAATTACAGGGTTGTTAATTTCAACCTTTTTATTCGAGTTTTTTTAAATTCAAATTTTGAAAAATCATAAAATTTTGTAAAGTTCTTTGAAAATTGTAAAATGAATTAAGAAACTTCAGATCTCGGAAACTAAAAGCAAGTGAGCAGTCGCAATTGAACGCGAGATTTGCAAATGAGAGTACTCTTACAGTACCCAACTACAGCGATGCGAAATTCAAATTTTGAGAAACTTCCAACTTGAATTTTCTAAAAGAAAGTTTCGAAAACCAGAAAAAACGTCACATCTCGTAAACTAACAGAACTTGAGCAGTCAAATTTGTAGGAGGCAAAATTTGGAACCCCTGAAAGTACTCTGAAAGC